GAGAAAGAGATCTTAGCGTCCTTGTGGCTAGTTCTCTGAAAACATCCACTCAATGTGCAGCAGCAGTCAAAAAAAGCTAGCAGAATGTTGGGAATCATTAAGAAAGGGATAGATAATAAGACAGAAAATATCATATTGCCTCTATATAAATCCATGGTACGCCTACATCTTGAATACTGTGTGCAGATGTGATCTCCCCATCTCAAAAAAGATATACATGCCAAACGGCCCCCAGCCCTAACCGGGACAGACCACTTGGAGGGCTAAGAAGGGCGAGTCACCTCTAGGGTTAGTTAGTCTGCGCTATCTCTGCTAAGATTGCCAACTCATGGCTGCTTTTGGAAGGAGGACATGTGGCTACTTGGAACTGGACTGAAACCACTGGCTCATTTTATACCAGGCTTCCAATAGACATGGGATTGAAACTGCCAAATTTGGACAGGTAACTCAGAGATGAAAGGCTCTCCCCTGTCACCCAGCCTCTATTTAATTGAACTTGACTTCCAGGAAAAGAAGGGGAGGGCTGAAAAGAAGTGTTCTGCCTTACTAGAGATCAGTGAGCACTTTGAATTCACTTTCAGAGGGACTGGAGAATTTACAGTATGAAAACAGGCCTAATGCAATTCTGCATTTCCCTCTGAAGTGGCAGCTCACGGAACAAACTCTCCTGCATTGTCAGGTGTTTTCTGTCTCAGCGAGCAAAAGTGACGCCGAATATTCTGTGTGATTAAAGGCTTGATCCCAAAAGGATCTGCAAATTCTTACTGACTTCCATCAAGCACGTCTCAGGATCAGGGCCAAAGTGTGTAATGACTAGGCACAAGGAGCCGCTGTAGCTTTTTCCCATAATGCAAAGCGGTCCCCTTTGATGGTCTTTGGAAATGGGCCTGACTCGAAAATGGAAACAAATCTGGATTTAGCAAATGGCCTTTTATCCCTTCAAACCGCCGTTAAAAACGTGGGATCCAAACACTCCCAGACGTGGAGGGGTTTGAAATCTGGATCTGGACCTAAATGCTGCAGCTCAATAATCAAGGGCCGTTGACCTCAACCGGAGTTTTGGACAAATAAAGACTCACTAAAATCTGGCTCCATCTGTGCAGTGAGGACGTACGATAACAGCTGGGATTCTAATTGTATCCCCTTTTGGCTGATGGTTTTCAGAATGGAGTCCAGCCACTCAGCTACTTTAAAGCAATATTACACAGCCAGTGCTGTTTCCAGATCTTGCAAACTAGTGTCGGCCTCCGAGGGAAGGGTTTGCATTTCAAGAACCCTGGCTCTGTTGTAGCTGGAAGCTACTGCAAGGGAGGAAGGGGACAACGTCCGACCGTTTGGAGTTTAGGGCGAGCAGAGGTTGTGATTAGCGATGGGAAAGAGAGTGGCCTGGCCAGAACAGTGAACTGGGAGTCGGGACTCCTGAGTTCTAGTCCTGCCTTTCTGTGCCTCATTTTCCCCATTCATAGCATGGAGGAAACATTTTCTTGCCTCACAGAGTCGATGCTCTGAGTTGGAATGAATTAGCATTTGTAAAGTGCTTGGAAGTCTTTGGCTGGAAGGGGGTATAAAAAGGGAAAGACTTATTAAACCCCACGTGCTTATCGACCCTCTGTCTCATTTCCTCCTCTGACTTCCCTGCTGGGGTGGTTGCCTCAGAGAAACAAGACAGTTCACCAGTGCTACAGGCTAGCAAGCCACTGACCCATTCGCAGCAGGTAATTCATCATCCAGTCCGTCGTCATGCACGTGCCTAATCTAAAGCTTAGTGAAGTCAATAGGGGTCTTTCCTTTGACTCCATTGGGATTTGCATCCAGGCTATAGTCCCGCAGTGAAAGATGTATGAAATACTAGACTGACACTGTGCTTGACATTGGCCAAAAAGTCATGCAATGCCCAATCCTGCTTCCTCACATCAACGCTCTTCGGCCCAGAATTTGACTTCAATGGGAGTTAGGTGCCTAAATACCCTTAAAACTCTGGCCCTTATTAACATCCATGAGAAGAAGGAGGAGGCCCATACTATGACTTGGATTCCCCCAGGCCACTGCGGGTTTTTAGACACTGAATTAATGGCTTTTCTCCCAAGGAAGCGAGAAGAGGAGTAACTCAGAAGCTCTGTGTTCTGGGCACAAGTACCTGTCGAGGTGAAAGGCAGCTATTTCCGCATTGTGCCTCTGAAAGTCAACGAAGTAGAAACAATCTTCTGGAGTCTCTTCCTCTCGTTCCTGTCTGAAAGAAATGAAGGGGTTACTAACCAGGCCAGGAGAACATGCCAGGGGAAGGATGGGAGCGACCTGGGAGCAAGGTGGGAAGTGAGCTTTACAGAAGAGCCCAATGCACCAGCAGAGACCTGCAACGCTTGTGCTAACGACATTCCCAAAGGACAAGAGCATCAGGCTACAGCCGTCATTTAAAAGACACCGGTGACGGGCCAGGAATGATTAAAAGCAACAACTGGACGGAGCAGTGCTCATATACTTATTGGAATGGCAGACACACGGAGAGAGGCAGGAGGTGGGCGGTGCTTCCGGGTGTTGTGCCTGCATTTAGACCTGGATTGGCACCCGCAGAGTCCTTGTTTACCCACAAGGCAGTATGCAGCCAGGGGCCAGGCTGCTCTGCCAACATGCCTCACTCCTCACCACCACCTCTAGCGTCTCGCTCTTCCTGTCTCTTTGATTCTTGGTCCTTCTGCTGAGACTGGCACCAAAAGACTTAGGGCACAGATTCTCAAACTGGGGGTCGGGACCCCTCAAGGGGTCATGAGGTTATTACATGGGGGGGTCGCGAGCTGTCAGCCTCCACCCCAAACCGCGCTTTGCCTCTAGCATTTATAATGGTTTTAAATACACCTCTACCCTGATATAACGCTGTCCTCGAGAGCCAAAAAGTCTTACCGCGTTATAGGTGAAACTGCGTTATATTGAACTTGCTTTGATCAGCTGGAGTGCGCAGCCCTGCCCCCCCGGAACACTGCTTTACCGCGTTCTATCCGAATTCGTGTTATAGCGGGTTGCGTTATATCGGGGTAGAGGTGTATATAAAAAGTGTTTTTAATTTATAAGGCGGGGGGTCGCACTCAGAGGCTTGCTATGTGAAAGGGGTCACCAGTACAAAAGTTTGAAAACCACTGCCTTAGGGTATGTCGGCTCTGCAACTGGGAGGTGTGATTGCAGCATGTGTGGTGACAGTGGTCACTCAAGTATACGCCCAGGGACCTGGGTGGGGGGGGCTAATCTGTGCAGCCACCCGTGCTGCTACAGCTTCACTATTGTAGTTACTAGAGCTAGCTGAGAGCTAGGTAAATGACATCTACCTGTGCTGCAGTCCCATCTCCTGATAGCGTGTAGCCATGCCCTTACTGTCAGCTTTGGACACCTGTCCTTTAGCAACAGGACTGAGACCAGCAGTTTATTTCCCTCAGGCCACCAAATAGCCAGCAGATAGTGATTCTGAGTCACCACCGTCTCAGTTTGTGAAACAGCACCAGCAGTTCCATATCCCCTGAGCTAATCAGTCCTCCAAACTCATGTGTTCAACAGGAAAGCATGCTGCAATCCAAAGCTTGCCGGCCTCATCTCCTCCCAGCAGGCGAGCCGAGACATACCTTCCTACCAGCCACAGCTGAGTGAGTGCCTTCGGAAACTACATATTTTACCTCTTGGAATTCATAGAGACAAGCCATGGGGGAAAGAGAGAGAGAGGAACCTCTATTATAAGCACATAGTTGAACTCCGAAAAGCTCGACCCGTCATTCCGAGCCAAGGCGGTGCGCAGAAAGCAATCTGAATGGAAATAAATGTAAAGGGCCAAAAGGGCTATAAATAAATGCAGAAGCAATTTAAAACTGCTATTCAACCACGAGCTAGCTCCTGGAAATATACTTGGGACTTCAATAAAAAAACAAATGAAGGAAAACAGGAATTCTATTGGGAAGCAGCAGAAATGTATCGGCCTCAACAATCTCCCGCACACACACACACACACACGACAGACAGCACTGTCTTGCGTCGTCAGCTGTGTGGAGCGAATCCGGTTTTAAATATGCAATTCCAACAACAGGTGTAAGAACTTTGTGTGGTTTTCTGTGCCAGGCACACCTGTGACACAGTGGGAACTAATGAGAGCTAATTTTTATGGAAGACTTTTGAGCCGTCAAGACAAGGTTTACTGAATAAAGGAGACAAAAGATGCTAATGCAATTTCCACATCCTTTGCCAACCTGTTTTTATTACAAAGCCAGGTTGTCAGCGTCCCATTGCTTCACCCCATCCACTCCAGCCTGGAGCTATTCACTTGCATCATGTCCTTCCCTGCTGAAACAGCTCAGGTTGTTTGCTGTCAGTGGTTATTTGCACAGATGGCGCTGCTAAAGAAGCCAGAGGTCAACTGCCTTTATTATAGCGTAGGCCACCTTGCTTAATTGCTAGGTGAGGCTGTTTTGGGAAAAAGCGACTGCAGGTGATTTAGAGCTAATACGTATGTACCCTCTCCTTACCTCATGGGTTTGAACATGGCTTTCCCAAAGTCCTGGAACCTCAGGACCAGTTTCAGATGTACACCGCTGGGCTTCACAACTTGCGTTGGGGAGGAGAATAAAACAGAGTGGGAAATTCTTGATTTGACACTGGTAAAATATTTCTTAAGTATCATTTGGTATCAGAGAAATTCATCTTTCTTCTCCACACGAGTAAATCTCCCAACTAGTCTGGATAAGATAGCTCATGTCAGCTGGTCTATTTATTGCTAATTCGCTGCTGCATCTCACCCCTATAGTTCTTGCCATGGTAATTTTCCCTGATCCTGCTCTATGCTAGGCAGACCATTTTCCTTTAGCATTTCTAGTCCTCAGTCATTTGACATTTCTTCTCTGTGATCTTGGATTTCTCCATCTCGCTTGCCTTTATTGAACAATAAGCGAGAGTAAAAGTTGCTGGTGGTGCTGTGCGTACGTGCAAGTCAAAAACTCTGCAGTGGGCGTGCCGGGTGGAAGCTGGCTGCCTGGATTCTGCCTTCTAGGAAAATCTTCAACACAGCGCAGGAGCGTAAGTGGGGTTGGCCAAGGAGCCAAGGGCATGGTCTATGGTGTGCCTACTCAGCTGTTCTCACCAGGCACTGAGTGCTACATGTAGCCCCCTTTGCAAGTTATTATACTCTTAGAAAAAACAGAGTGAACAGCGGGGCTGAGAGCTGGTCCCAGCCGCCATGTGGGGTGACATAAATGTTACATTGGCGCCCACTACAATTTAAAGTGAATTTCATGCTGGTGAAAGCTGCCCGCGGGTTTACATCCTGAGATGGTGGGCGGAGCCTACCAAAGAAACTGAAGCCCCACCCCTCATTTAAGGTTGGGACCATAGAGCTCAGGATTTGAGTGACAAAGCTGCATAGACAGCCCTGGAGAATGGAGCTCTCTGCTTGTTCTCAGAGCAGATACAGCCTGGGCATGGAGCAGTGTGAGCTTCCCCCATGCTGCCCTGCGAAGTTGTCTCAACCCCAACCTGGAAGGGTCCCCTCTAGGGGCCGAGGGGGTTAATGCACCTCCATGCTCACTCAGGGTTTGACTCAAAGCTCATTAAGTCAATGCAGAGCCTCCCAGTGCATTCAATGAGTTTGGGAGCAGTTCCCCAATTCTTGGCCTCACTTTCTGAGACTAAAAGCAAAGGCACCAATTAATCCCACTTGTGGTCATGTGCTTCTGTGGTCCAGTTCCATTAGAAACAGAACTCAGGCCATCAGCTTTCTTCACACAGGCCACCAAAGAGCCAGCAGAGAGAGAAGGGCTTTGGTTCAGTACTGACCTGGTTTGGATTTGCAACGTTCACCTTTATTTTTGAAGGCAGCCGTTTGCACAAAGGCTGAGGAATTACCAAATGAAGCAGGAAATGTTCATGTGGGATTCCAGGAAAATTCAGAGCTATTATTTCGCCTACAAGCCTTGCATTTAACAGAAAAAAATGTCCTCTCCATACAAGGTGTCAGGTTTGCTCAGCTATCTAGTACAAGGAGGTAAAATGAGCCGCAAGTAGCGAGGACACAAATGAATCACTTACTCTGGGTGCAGTCACAGGCTCCTAATAAAGCTTTCTCATCCTGACTGTAATCTGCAGGGAAAGAAAAAGGGATAAGAGAATCATTCACGTTGAACCTGGCCTCATGCTAGCAATTATTCACGACCCGGCCGCTGCCATTTCAAAACGGAGACGTGCCGCTGGAGATTGGTGCTGCTGGCGTTAACCAACTTGCCAAGAAGCAAACGAAATGAAGCAAGGTCTGGTGTTTGGCTCAGTACAAGTCTCAGAAAAGGCAGAGTCAGAGACCGGTGTGAACCCAGCAGTCACTTCTCACAAGTGACTAGCCCCCTGGCAGCAAGAGTTCGGGTCAACTGACTCGGGCTTGTGTGTGGGTGTAAAGGTAGCAGTGTACTGCAGGGCTTCTCAACCTTTTTCTTTCTGAGGCCCTGCCACTCCATGGCCCCCTCTGCCACAACAGCTGTTTTTCTGCATATAAAAGCCAGGGCCAGCATTAGGGGGTAGCAAGTAGGGCAATTGCCTGGAGCCCCACATCACAGGGGGCCCACAAATCTAACTTGTTTAGGCTTCAGCCTCAGGTGGCGGGACTCAGGGCCCTGGGCTTCAGCGCCATGTGATGGGGGTTTGGCTTTCTACCCTGGGCCCCAGCAAGTTTAATGCCGACCCTGCTTGGCGGACCCTCTGAAACCTGCTTGCGGACCCCTGGTTGAGAACCACTGGGGCTAGGACTGGAGCTTGTGCTCTGAGGCCCTCTCCCCTCATTAGGTTTCAGAGCCCAGGCCCCAGCCCGAGCCCTGAACGTTTACATTGCTCTCTTAAGCCCCACAGCGTGCGCCAGAGTCAGTCGACCCAGACTCGCTGCCGCGGGTCTTTTGTTTGCAGTGTAGCCGCACCCTCGGGCACTTCGGAGCAGGTCGAAAAACTGAAAACCTATTTTAAAGCACGTCGACAATGTTACTGAAATCTGTCAGTTACGTTTTCAGTAAGGTTTTGGAGAAAGTTTTATACAAAATAAAAATAAAACCCCAAGGCTGGAAAATGGTCACTACATTTGTGTATGTATTTATTTTTTACAAAAAAATCTTTTCATTTGAAAGATTCCAACCAGTTCTATTATGGTGCCCAACTCGAAACTCTTACCGGCACTGACAGTGTTAAAATCTTGCATGGCGTGGAGGAGTTTGTTAATGGCCGGGCTGGATCGGGGGTACAGCCCATAGCGACTGATGCCCAGGTGGAATTGGAGCCAGCTTGCTTCCCGCCCAAGCTGCAGCAGCGAGTCAGGAGAAGTTAGGTTGAGCTCCTCTCTGTAAAGCTTATGTCTCCTGAAAAACATTACGTTATACGATGAAAAGGGCATGTCACTGAATGTAAATCCTTAGTGCTCCAAAACAAGCAGACTGCTGGTTTTCAAAGAGCTGGGAAAACGCTATTAACCGACAGTTCCACATTCTACAGAGCTTTCCAGCCAGAGATAGCAAATTGCCTTACGAGAGTGGGTAAGGATTATGATCTTGATTTTACAGGTGGGGAAACCAAGGCACACTGAGAGAGCACCTTGTCAAAGGTTGCCCAGGAAGACTGTGACAGACTTGGAACCAGAACCCAGGTCTCCTAAGTCATGTCTTAACCACTTGACCATTATTCCTAGTGTGGTGTTCTCTGTGCCAAACCGGAGAGGGCAAAAATATTCTTTTCATTACCTTTTTATAGTTATAGTGGGGTAGTAGCTAGACACAACAGGGACCCCTGTTGGAGTTCCATGCAAACTAACAGCCAGACAGCCTCTGCCTCACAATCTAGGATTTAGACAACACACAAGAGGCAAATAAACAGACAAATGGGGGAGGAAGGACGAGATGCCAGCAGAAGTTTTCATAGTTTTACAATAGCTTCCCACTTTAGCTACTGGGGCAGCAGTCTGAAAGCTCCGGCTCATGGGCCAACAGAGGGGGATCTTCTGCTAGTCTGTTGAATGAAACTCTTTGGGGGTTGGAAGGCAGGGAGAGAAGGAGAGTCCATAGAAGGGTCTTATACAGAGACGCCTGCAAAATGAACAGCAAACTGAACAAAGGCCAGGGTGCGAAGAAGCTGTGTCTGCTGAATGTTAATGGGCAAACTGGGGATAATAGGGGACGTCCCTCGCACACAGGGGCGTTGTAAGGATAAATCCATGAAAGATTGCGAGGCCCTCAGGTGCTGTAGTGATGGGGGCAGTCAAGTACCTAAGAGAGTCATTTTGAAAAGGGGCAAGTTTCAGAGAATAGCATCATAGGACTGGAAGGGACCTAGAGTCTTGCACTCATGGTAGGACTAAGTATTAGACCATCCCTGACAGGTCTTTGTCTAACCTGGTCTTAAAAGCCTCCAGTGATGGGGAGATTCCACAACCTCCCTAGGCAATCTATTCCAGTGTTTAACCACCCTGACAGGAAGTTTTTCCTAATGTCCAACCTAAACCTCCCTTGCTGCAATTGAAGCCCATTGCTCCTTGTCCTGTCCTCAGAGGTTAAGGAGAACAATTTTTCTCCCTCATCCTTGTAACAACCTTTTATGTACTTGAAAACTGTTATCAT